AACAAACAACTATTTATTTTTTTAACCTTGGACGGATATGAGATACACGAAATGATTTACTTCTTTCAAACAATTAACAATGACGAGATATACAACATGTAAAAGAAAGAAGATTTATATTTAAACTAGCTGCAATATGTTTTGCCTCATAACATCGTCGTTGAAATTCTATCTTCTTTACGTGCTAACTAAAACATCAACTCTGAAAGTGAACATGAAATATTAATACCTACTAGATTTAAGGAAAAGAAATATATAGACGTCCAAATCGCATTGAAACCCAATATAATGAGTATTCCATTGTTTGGCAGTTGTTGCGAGTTCATCGAATGTAGGATTACTATTCACCGTATTATCTAATTTAGATGAACAGATATTGATAAGTATGACAACTAAATGAATACACTTACATCGACGTATATATTCAAGTTGTTCATTGGTTAATTTCTTTTCTACTTTTGCAACTTTTAAATAAATAGAATTTACTGATGCATTATGACAGAAAGATAAAAATTTCGTACAATTCCAACGCATTACAAGTGCCGATAAATTTTGAATTAGTTGAAATGTAATATTCATTCTTAGCATGGCTTCGCTGATATATATCATAAAAGTATTATGATTTCGTCTCAAATTATATTTGAAAATCATTCGTAATTTGGAAAAAGTGATTTGTTGTTTTTGACTAAATTTATCAAGAAATCTTTTTTCTTCTCTTATTTTTCTTACATAATCTATTATTAAAGATCAAACATTATTCAAAAACTAAAATCAGATAATATACTGCTTCTCTTTTTTTTCATTTTCAAGTACTTTTGAATAATAAATATATTGAAACAACAAATAACTTATATTGATTTTCTTTAACTATATAAGAAATGAGAAACATTAGATCGATAAAAACAAAATTATTCAATTATATGAGACAATAATAATTAAAAGCGAGTTTTTGGAATGATTATTCGTGTTTTTCTTAGTGCTCTATGTGAGTAAAATTGCTTTATTTATCAGTAATATACAACTTCATTCGTTCGACTTGTAGAAGAGCAAAACAAACATAACTATTCTTTGAATGCGTATTTTTTAATACTAAGATATTTTTAGGGTAGTGTAAATAAGATTATAGTAAAACTCTACAAAAAATTAGTAATACAAATAAGAGAACGTGATGTTGACAATGATTTCTTTTTTCCTTGACGTTGAACAAACGTATATTGAATATATTCTTTTAAAGAGGGAAAAAAAGAGCAGTTCGATTCTGAAAATATTTCTTTTCTCCTCCTTATTCTGTTATGTTTACCGAACAACAATGATACAATTAGCTTGTTAGCATTGTGTTTTGACAATCGGCGGTGTTTTCACGCTGTATAGCATTTTATATAGATAGATAGCTACGTTAGCCGTCTTAGTGACTATTGTTATAAATGGTCGTGATCATTAGTCACCAATTTACGATTAAAACTAAAGAATTTTTGAAAGAATCATTAAATTAAATTTGAATTTTTCGTAGATGTCATAGTGCTATTACTCTAAATATCGGCAAGATGTGGGTAATGCATAACATCCAGTAGAATAATTACCTCATTATCTGACTGAATGAATCTGATCCGATTTTATAAGATCCGATCATCCGACAACATCCGATGGAAATCCAGTTTATAGAATCAATAATGAACTCGAAAGTCGAATTTCGAGGAGTATCCAATGATATCTAACCTTTAAAGCTAGTAGAGATTTTAACCGTTGGTTGCCGATAAAATACTTATAGGTTCCCACCAACGTTTTTTGATCTCGTGTATAACTAATTGTGTATATGTATACAGATATAGATGTGAACGGGTGGGAAGCTCTTCAGCGATACTCACATCGATACCTACACCCACTTCCACATCCAAAAGTAAGATACTTGAAGATTACTAAGATTAGAGAATGAAGCAGATTAATATAGTTATTATGTAATCAACAGATGCAACAAATACAGAACGGAAACAAGGTGAGTCGAAGAGTGAATGTGAGTGTAGAATGTGGGGGCAAGACTACAAGTCGGTCTTCTGTTTATCCTCACTCACACTGAGCATCCTGGTCATACCCACATCCCACAGTCTCACATGTGGATATGTCGTTGTTTATGTCTTTCTCTGTTACTATATTCTCTCTCTTATAATTTTGATAAGCGTTCTCGTGTATCATAAAAAACAGCGCAGTTCAAAAAAAATTCCTTAATTCATCATTCTGTCAATCGAGATAAGTTCTTTTTCTTTTCTTTTATGCACGACTGCTGTCTTACTATCATACACACATGGCAAATAGTCCATTTTTGATAATCCAATATACGATTACGTCTTTATCAGCTCCTTCTTTGCAAATCAAATTTACCGTGGTCTAATACGAATTCAGTCATGGCAACAATGTGGATTGGGTCCTTGTTAAACAGTTAGAGTGAAAAGAAGGCAGCTACTGTCACGAGAGGATTGTTGATTTGGCGGGGCACAACTGAGAAAGAAATCAACAAGTACATAAGAACTGACTCATTTGTCGTGCATGGACTGGTGAGGAAATGGATTCCGCGATCGTTGGTAGCTATGGATGAACACAAGGCATTCGAAGATGACTTTCTTCGCATGCCAAGTAGAACTGATTTTTTATTAGCGTGACTATTTCAGCTTGAATAAAATCAATGAAGTGATTACAGGATGATAGCACGCTAACGAAGCTCAAAGTTATGATCTTTCAGTTGAACAGTTTCAATCAGTTTGACTCGACTGAAAATTTGAATCCTTTTACTCTTAGGCCTGCACCTGAGCAGATTAACTCTTTATTGTCTGACACTCGAGGTTTTCAAAAATTCAAATCAAGAAATATCGGAATTCGATTTCCATAATAAAATTTTCGAAGTTTATCAATAACTTGTTGATTTGAAAGAAAATTAGGAAGTAAATGTCAAAAAAAATAAAAGTAATAGCTGAAACTTTGATTTCAAAAGTGAAAATGTTTTTCAATATTCGTACTTGAATGTGGTAATCTCTAATCAGGCCGCTTTAACCTTGTAATAAACTAATTCAGGGTCTGCATCATCGTCCAAATTATGAATAACTCCAGTCAATTGATATTTAAGTTTAGCGAGTAATGATTGCATGGCTAAATTAGACAGATTCGTCGATGTGAACAATTTCTTTGTCGTAATTAAAGTTCTCTCTTCTAAATAATGCATCAACGTTAGACCAATACCTTGTCGCCGATACGAAGGATGGACACGAATCATTGAAATAAAAGCTTGTGCGTAGAAAGAATAGTCAAGTACAGCATAACCAGCAATGAGTGTATCATTCCAAAGAGCAATATGACAGTGAGATGACGCTACAGATCGTTCAAGGAACGAACGAATGAAGTGACGATCATCGATTGAATGACAAATTTCGTCAATATCATTTATCGTAGCTAAACGACAGGAAATTATCTTCTTGCTGGTCTCCACTGACTTCTCCATGACTCGATGTATTCTTCATCGACATCCACGTCATTTTGCTCCATCAAACCTGTTGTGCAATTATTACATTGCACAAGATAAGAGATAACTGCTGTGTCGAAGTTTCTTCTACTCATTCAACGACCACAACTATTTTGTTCCAAGACGAGCAGAAAAAAAATCGAAGAATCTTTTCTTCGATCATGTATGTCTTCTCTAGAAAACTTAGAATCAAAAATCTTCAAGATGATTCCAACAGAAGGGTGTGGGTGTGGGCATGGACTTGAGTGTGGGTAAGTGCAAGTGTCTGTGGAATGAAAACCATCAGATACACTCTCGGCATTGCCAGAATGCGTCTACGCTCACACCCACATCTTCATATGTTGTTCTTGTGATCAATACGAATCCTGCTAAGTATCGCTAGAGAGCAAGTGTTAATACTTAGAATTTTCATACGCTATCCCAAGCTAAAACAAAACTTCGAACCAATTTTTACATTTAGCTCCATTTTAAAACTTTTTCCATCAAAATCTTCTAATTAATTTCAAGTTCTATGGCAAGATTCAACTATAATTCGTATAAACTTTTCTTTTTCTAAACTTGATAGTAAAGAACCTGTTCGAATTTAATAGAAGATACATTATTTTCGAATTCAACATGGATTATTGAATTCACATTTTATATTTGAATTAGATGAATAATGGAAACAATCGCACAGCTTTTATTTTCATAAGGGAAGATGTCTTCCCGTAGAATTCAACATTCACTTTTAAGCAAATCAAATCAAATAAATTTTTCTTTCAAAACTCTAAAACTAGTACAATCTATGATGTGTTATTCTATGATAATGTTGAGTAGAATAGTATACAATGAAACGGCAATAACAGATAAAGGAAGAGAAGGTTGTAGATACTGATTATAATGATATCCAAGTTGAACCGTTATCTCTTGACTAATTTGAACAGCAACAATATGACCCAGAACTACACACACTTGTGTTCTTAATGATAATAAGTAAGCTAATATCATTAAAACAATCGAAGTAAAGATTAAAAAATCAACAAGACAAATAAATACCATATTGTTGAGATCATTTGACTCATTTTTATCAAAGTTCCAGATGCAGTAAAGCTGAAGATAAATCGATAAATCAATGTTCGAGAATTTCGATGGATATGCTTACGTGATATCGTTGCTTGTTTATGTTTTGCGAATATATCTGCTGATATGTAAACTGTCAAAACCTTTTAAACAAAAAGATTGTAAAAATATTATATGAAAAAAATACAAACGATTTATCAATTCAAATTCTATTCTTTTCCTACTACATGCCATCAAAAATAGTTCTTTTCAAAACGGAATCTTCTGCGATAAAATTTTATTTTAAAAAAGACATACAACAAATTGAAAAGATGTACGAGAAATTATAAATCCAAGGACAAAATTCACAGAGATCACTTACCAGAAATTAATTTCACAATATAATTTTATTCCAATAAATTTAACTTAAATCTATCATTTAATTACATATTCAATGGTAAATGACAATGGTCTTTAATAAATATTCCATACATTCTTATTTATGTAAGATATTCATCATGATTGAAAGTTAATTTTAACCGATTAAAAAAGATTTTTATTCAGGAAAAGTATTATTTGTAAGATAAGAATATATTAGTATTCTTACAAACATCCGCTTTTCTTAGCAATCAAATATCGAAAGACACAGGAGTATCGATAGTTCCGGGTTAACTTCTTTTATTAACTAGAAATCTCACGTTTTTAAATCATGTTAAAATTAATGATTCTCATACATGTATCTTGTTGACAAATAAAAGATAAATAATTGTAATAGCGAAAAATCCATTTAATATATCGTCAATACTTTCTATAAGAATTCCTGGCTCATGATCATTTTCAATTATAGAGACAATGCATCTATAAGAAATGTATTATTTAAGTTTAATCGATTTGCAAGTCATTGATCATATTAACATATTTTTCTTGTATGTTTCTATTCAGAATATCTGTTAAAATTGTAATTGAAAGAATCAAATTTCAATAGAAGTGAAAAATTCATTCTAATAAACTTTCTTGAACACTAGAGATACAAAAGAAGAAAACAAGAAGTCAGTATCATTTATCAGGTTAAATTAAATTCTCTAAATGTAATATTAGTGTGATGAAATTTTTTCAAATTATTCTTTCTTCGTAAAACTAATTTACTTTTGCTAGGAAATAAGATTATATTCAATTGTATATTTAGGTTTCTTCATGTGAAAACTTTTTAGTCTTTATTTATATCTATTCATTGTGTTTAATAAGGATTCATATATTTCAAAGCCAAGCAAATAGTCAATTTTCATTCGCCCAATTTCTGATATTAACAAACATGAATACTTCATAGAAAAAACTCTG